AATACAGAGGTCTGGCACACTGCTACAGCTTTGTTCCGATCGGCTCGGAGACCCTCAGTTCGTGGGGAAAATGTGCATTGAAGTTTCTGAAGGAATTGGGGGATAAATTGATCAGCGCTACAAAAGACCAGAGAGCAAAAAGTTTCTTGTTCCAGCGCCTCAGTGTTGCGATTCAGAGGGGAAATGCCTGTTGCGTCTTGGGCACTAGTCTAACTTCAGAGGAATTCGAAGAAGTGTTTGACTTGCAACAATGATCGAACCCGTCTGTGACATTCATCAATGTTTCCCATTGCCGTGTTTTTCAAGAGATCCATAACCTTTAAGCATCTTTTTGTATTATTGTTTTTGTATCAACCCATGTATATCTTGTAACCATCATATATATATATATATATATATATATATATATATATATATATATATATATATATATATATATGCAGAATAACCACATATGAAAAAGAGAAAATGCTTAACGCGTTTTCGGCTAATTCGCCTTCATCAGAGCAAAGTAGAATCCTAAGATTCTACTTTGCTCTGATGAAGGCGATTAGCCGAAAACGCGTTAAGCATTTTCTATTTTTCATATGTGGTTATTCTGCATACTTGGATCAGTGTTTTTGTGATCATTGTTGCATATATATATATATATATATATATATATATATATATATATATATATATATATATATATATATATATATATAATATATATAATTTATAGGGATACCGTCTCTGATAAGAACATGAATACGCACATCCTTACGAGAAAATAAAGAACATTACAGAAAGGTTTGTCGACTGCGTCTAAATTTATATGAACATTTTCTTGTATACCCTATTAAACAATTTTATTTATATGTTCTAATAAAAACTCAACCGAATCTTTAATTATATAAAAAATGCAAAGTTTTAGTACATAATCATGATTGCTAATCCAAGTTCTTAAATATGTATTTTAATTAATGCATATCTTTTTGCTCTCATCCTTATAATTCTTCAATATTTTTTATTATTTTGAAGGATAAATAAAAAGCCAGTTACCGTTGTTTTTTATATATTTTTACAGAAAATATCAATTGCTGTCTATTCAAGTTAGATTTTACGAGAAATAAAACTAAAATCTTTCAATAAGCTTAAAAGTCACTTTATGGGTATCATTCACAATTTTCTCAACTTTCAAGCTCATTTTATAACTGGAAATAATTTTGTAATGAGGATATAGTAAAATACAGCCGACATAGTCATTTTATTTATTTTTACAGAAAATATCAATCGTTGCCAATTCAAGTTGAAAAGCTTACTGACCAGAAATAAAAAAAAATAACGAAAACAAATTTCTTTCAAAGAGCTGTATATAAAGTTTATATTTCTTGTTGGTAACGGACTCTAAAGGACTGGTAACAATGTTGTCACTTTATCTGTGGACTCTGCAAGAGCGCTCAAGGTCTCAGACTTTCAACTTAGTGGCCATTGCAACATTGCTTTGTACAAACATAACAATCCCTGCATTCTAAATTATCTACAGTGACTAGCTATAGTGAACGTTTAATGTGCTGTTTATACTGTATTCTCGCCCTTATGCCTTCAGAGGTTACACTAAATGATAAAGCAATTTTTTTTTTTCCAAAGAATTACAAACAGAATGCAAACATTTGGTCACATAAAATTTCAACACATTCACACGAGGTGTAACATTCTGTATCCACTACAGCAACATAAGATTTTAGGTTGATTCATTTTGATAGTTTTGGACATGATCATTTAAAGTCTGGTCTGTAAAGAATGATTTAAGAATATATATACAAATAAATCCTTCTCTACAACCATATTAGGATTGAACAGAAATAACACGTGCTTTACTGGACAGGAAGTGGATTTACAACGGTGCTCACACTAAGCCTTGTTCTGTAAAATTCTTTCATATAAAAACATAAGTCGTAATTATCATTCCCAAATTCTCTCCAATGAAACCAAGTCAAACAGAAGTGTGGAATGCAAGTCTTAAAGTTATCAGCGTCATAAATCCCACCTGTAGTATGTGATGGTGCAGCAGCCTCGAACCCAGTGGGCAAACCATGCTTGAGAAACGTTGATTCAACATCAGATCAACATTGATTCAACATCGGACTAATTAATTCATCGTTGTTTGCCCAGCTTTGCCCGGGGAGGGAAGGAAGGAAGGGGGAGGGGGGGGGGTGTCTCTAACCCAGTCTGATAGTTGATATTCGACGAGCTCTCTATGAAGAGTGACCAGGAAACACAGCTTGCAGTGATTAATATACATAAAGATAGTTCATTATGGTTAATTTTGTTATTAAGTGACTGCCTGCTACAAAAGCCTATCACTTGAAAAGCCAGCAATGAAATTGTTATCACAAAAGTTCACAAGTTTCTATGTACATTTCTTTCACGACGGAAATACATCTCTCTGGATCTAAAGCGCTTCATTAAAATCTAGACAAAGTTGTTAAAAAACAAAGCTATTTATATTTTCTGTCTTTATATAATTCACAAGTCTGTGCAACATGGTTTTTGCTTTACATCTACTTCCACAATAATAATATACGTTTTCTCTATACAATAGGCACCTTTCAATTTCTTTACCTTACACGCTAAACTAGAAACATTGATGATGACTATAAAGTAATCTAATAGACCCAATTAGCTACACAAATGTTTATGTACAAAGCTTTGGCATGGCTGCACAAAAGTGTGGATCTTCCAAACATTAGTCTTTAATATCCACTGGCAAAGCTGGGGTCAGTAATAATAAAAGTGAAACCTTGGGGAAAGCTAGTACAGTGCAATTTTTCTCTTTAAAGGTTTCTTCCAATAACTTATTGTGATGAAATGTTGCGTAGGAACTCAAAATAGCAGTCATCCCAGTTGAATTAAGAATGGTAAATTGATATATTTCAGACTCAGCATATTTAAGAACCGACATAAATTCTAAATTATTGTCACCTCAGAAAACATCCATAAATTTATTTGGCACTGACGAGTCAATATTTTGCTACTAGCCTCCCTCAGGGCCACGGCGACGTCACCCAAGTCAGCTGGACGACCTTCAAGGCTGGGTCTCCAACATGGAGCCTCCGGTTACACAAGTAAAACGTACAGAAATAAACACGAGGCCATTTCAATGAGTTTACTTTGTTTAACATTGTTTGGGAAAATCAAGTCTGAAATGGTAAACCTGGACTAACAACCCAATTCACCCAAACAAAACCTTTGACAATGTAAGTCTCCTGAAAGAGCTTTATTAAAACAAAAATGTTATGGGTGTTTTGGAAGGTAGTTTTAACCATTTGCTCCGAGGGAAAATTTCCTGTTATACAATCATTTAGAATTAGCCCTTAGAGCAGTTGAAGTTAGAACTACCATTCTCTGACCCCTGAAGGTTGAGTTATAACGTATCTTTGGCTCGTACGACTGATTACCACCTGTGTGGTGGCATGGGGGAGGGGGGGGAGTAGGGGTAACTCCCCTCAGGGGATTACCTCCTTGCGTGAGTGGGTCTCTAAATTGGTGTATTATTTTGACACCTCATAAGATAGCTGGCATCAAGGTGTGTATTGATGTCTTTTTGACACGAAGATTTTGAGAGTATAAAATCCAGATCTCTAAAAAACGCTAATCTATAATGTCCTACTCTTCAAGGTACTGAATCTTTATTTTCCCACCCAAATATTAGGAGTGATATTATTTAAGTGCACATAAAAAGTTTTAGTTCCACATATTTACAATTGGTGAACCCACCATACACTTCCGTGGACATTACCTCACCACTGATCACATCTGGACTCTTTGTGGAATATATTGGAAGCAGCTGACTACCTGTGTTTCTCTCTGGGCCGGAAAAATGTATCACTCAGACTGTCTTTTGTATAACGTGAGACGTGATCAGCGACTTTAAACCTTAGATAGAGCTTTAAGCTTGTCTTTTATATTTTAGGGGCAAAACATGTAAAATCTGACCTAGTCAAATTGTCTTAAGCTCACTGGACTGCTTATATGTTCCATCAAAACTAACTTGTATCTGTTGTATTTTCCGAGGAAAGTTGCTAACTACAATCCACATTACATACACAAATGTTGTCACCTTCCATACTTACAACATGTTTTAGGTATGGATGTAAGAACCAGGTTAATTTTTCCAGTTGAGGCATGTGTACACAGGCATGAATTGATAATCGAATTGTTAACAGCTATCTAAGGGTAAGTATCGCATACATCAAATGCTTCCAGTACATGAAACGTCCTCGTGAAACATCATATTATGTACAAATCTTGTATGGAAGAACAGCACGGTTCAAACATGATTAAGAGTCTATACTGTAGGATGTCACAGGGATAGGATGAATCGTGGATAGGATTCATCAGTAGGCTATCCATTTTTTATTTTTTTTATTTTTTGCTTCTAATCCTTGGGTATAAAGTTTCCACAACCACTGGTTATTAGGGAATATGGAATTTCACCTTGCACTCGACGATGAGAATTAGTCTTAATAAAACAGCATTGGATTTATCTTACATTAGAAATAAATAAAACAGCCTTTCCAAGAACGTCAAACTTCCCACTCCATCTCTCCCTTCAGTCAAGGGATGAAGCACTCGTGGCATCTCTCGCTAACTAGAGAAAGTTACTTTCTCTCTTTCCTCTGCTTTGACTTTCACTAAAATGGTATGCAGGAAGATATCAGATTTCTTTAACATTTTGATTTTTGGCTTTACGATACTTCACAAGCAAGTGTTCTTCTTAGCTCTTCTTCCAACTTTACATCACAATGTAAGTTAGTCTCTACACTGCAAGCCAATCTTTGCTTATTTTGTTCTTGCTCTCACTAACGCACTTTTCCCTTCGCAAATTTTAAGAAAGGTTTTGACCATTTTAGCAATGAATAACTCTTCCCATCTTCCTGGGTCATACCTAACACCCGTTTCTTTCCCGCTTCATCTCAAGCTTCACGGTTGGTTTTGGTCTGTTGTTAGCCTCGCTTAACTGAGGCGTCCTACACTGTGGGCCAACTTCACTGCTTCTTCCTTGGGGGCCGGACGGGTACTCCCTGCAACTCGGCCTCGTGTTCGGCCTTCTTCTCCTGGGCGTTGGTGATGGAGGCGGCCTTGTAGGGGATGGGGCCGTAGTTGTAGGTGGCGTAGTCCACATCGGCGTACTCCAAATCGCCTCCGCCCAGGTTAGTAAGGAACGGCTGTTGGATAATAAAACTAGCTTCAGAACCGATATCTACACTGTCAAGAGTAATTAATGAGAGCTAGGAAAATTGATTGTAATGGAGCTAAAAACTGTCTTTAATCGAGTGGTCAATTTATGGGACAGCTTATCAGGAGAAATCTTAGTGTAGTATATTTAAACTGAAGTTAGAAAAAGTATTTCTCTTCAAATCTGCTACACTATATTCATGATATTTCTAACACATTTTTACATCATCACACAACCATCGTATTTTAGTTAAATAAAATCAGGCATCCTATTAATATTTGGTCGGGTAGCCCTCTGGTGACTATTATGGAAATAATATTTAGATTGATACAAGTTCTGATCTCTGAATGATAACGACTGAACAGTACCTACACCATACTACATACATTCCCTAATATCATACGACGTGCTAGATATAGATAGGCTTCCTAGTATCATAACCTAATGGATGTGTTTAATAAAAAAACTCATGTGATAGAACTATTGCCTAGTATCCTATCCTAGAAGGTTCTTTATTAGAACCTTCTAGGATAGGTTCAAAGGATTAGGTTGAAAAATGAGACAGGTCAAGTAATTGATGACAAGGAAATGGGGAGTGCAGACGATGAGTCACAATAACTTGGCTGAAGATATGATGACCAGACCACACATTAGAAAGTGAAGAGACGACGACGTTTCGGTCCGTCCTGGACCATTGTCAAGTCGATTGTGATGGGAGTGAGGGAGCCACGGGCATTAAGTAAGAGGTGAAGAGTAGGAAAATCGTTGAGGAAGGTAAGAGCAAAGCGAAAGGTATGGATCGGATGGGTGTAATAAAAGGGGGTGTCAGGAGGCAATAATAGGTGTAACAATAGAAGCGTATGAAAAAGAGGAAAAAGGAAGGGTAGGCTTATGTTAGGTCATGTTTGTTAGAAAGTTTAGAACATTTGAGTATGTACTGTGAAAGGGAAGAGTCACTAGCCACAAAGCCAGGACTTAAGGTTCATGTTTATATCCGTTAAACTGTCTGCAGCTTGGATGTTATTTATAAATAAACTTTCTGGATCCTTAACTTTCATGTTGTTTATTGGGGTGCTAAACATAGTCTCATATTGGCTTCTTAGAATTTCACTAATTTCTTTTTTGTCCTCTTATGTACGAACTCCAATACTGTTGGAGGTTTTTGACTTTGATTTTACATATTTGAAAAAAAATATTTTTTTTTCTTCATCTCTTGTTTAGTTTCTGTTCAAATTTCCATTTCCTCAGACTAGTATGATCGCTTCAGCTATATTTCTTCGATTTCCTTTAGATTTATTTTCCTTGCTTTTGATAGTCGTGTCTGTGTAAGCATTTCCGTTATTTTTGTCATTCTCCTGTACAGACGTCTGCGTTCTCTTTCTGACCCAACTCACAGGCACGTGCTTTATGCAGATCTTGTATGCTTCAGCTGTCAGTTGTGCCGTTCCCTGTGTGGGAGTATTTTCGCTTCTGTTTCCCATTGAAAGTTTGCAAGGTCTATATTTATTTTTTCCCAGTCAATCATCTTATTGTTGAAATTGAATTTATTGAATAACCCTTCTCGCTTGTTGTTTCTCTTGAACCTACCACCGTTATTAATGTTAGTTCGCACTTTAATGAGCGTGTGGTCTAAGTATGTAGTATCTGAGATCGTAATGTCTTTGATTAGCTCATCATTGTTTGTAAATATCACGTTCAGCGTGTTTTCGTTCTTAATTCTGTAATCTGCTGATTGAGCGAGAATTTGTCACAAAATCTCAGTAGTTCTCTGACCTGTGGTTGGTTAATTCGAGGTTGATTCCTTGCTATAATGTTATTGTTTACTATTCTAGATTTTAAACTGTGTAGATTGAAGTCTTCATGGAAGATATCTGGTAGAGGGTTTGTTAGGTTATCAAGGATATTCTCTATTTTGTGCATCTGCTCAGTGAATTCCTCAACTGCCGCATCTGGCGTTTTGTACATTAGAATAATAATTATATTTATATTTTCTGCCTTGATTCCAAGTACGTCTACCACGTCATTGGTCGAGTTCAGGAGCTCTGTGCATACCAGTTCCTATTTAATATACCGACCTACTCCTGCACTTGACCTAATTACTCTGTCACATGTATATACATTATAATTTGGGATCCAGATTTCACTATCCATGCAATCTTCGTGTTGGGTTTATGTAAATGCACCAAATAATAAGTTCGATTCTGTTAGGTCATTGATGAACTTTATTTCTTGATTTTTACCTTAGGCCTTGTATGTTTGCATATATGAATAACTGTTGGCTCTTGGTGTCAGACACTGGAAGCGCCAGTGCCAGCAACTGGTATTACTGGCACTATAAAAGCAGTGATGGCACGAGTGGTAGTGGAAGAGCATAATAGGTTTATTAAGAAGGGAAGTTAAAATTGTACTGCATATCCATATACGCAAATGTACAGTGAGAAGGGAAAGCTTAGACTAACGTTTCCCGAACAAAAAAAGGGAAGAGATGGTAAGAAACGAACGAGAGAGAGAGAAAGAGAGGGGAAAGAGAGAGGAGCAGAGCTCATAAGAGAGGGCGGGGGAAGGGATGTGGGACTTGCAAGTTTGCTGGGAGAGGCGAAACACTTAATGAAGAAGCACGTCGGAGCATCCATCAACCCCCCCCCACCGGACTCTGGCTCCAGTGGCAGGGGTGTAAGGGGGCTCGGTGGGGGTACGAGACCCCTGTGGGGGGCTCCACAGGGGAAGGGAGGGGAAGGTGGGGAACCCAGCCACCCAGCACGGTGAGGCCGGCTAGAGGGGGGGTGGGTGGGGGTTAACCCAACCTTCACATTCTCAACACGTCCAAATAATACCTCGTGAACACATCAAAACATTGTAAATATAAATCACCTGGTATAAGACGCGTCACTTTATAACGAACTCTCGCCGGCGACCTGCTGCCAAGTTATAACGAACTCTTGGCAATAACCAGAATTTCAATATCATCCATATTGAAATTTATACTTTTTAATGCAGTACTTATTTTTTTAAAGTTCAGACACAAGGATATATACTTTTTATCAATACATATACTGTATGAGACCTATTTAACTAATATTAAATATAATTAGTACATTATTTTCACAATGTATCAAACACTATATACACATAAACGTTTTCCTTATATCATAAAATTATACAAAACCAAATAACCCAGAATAAGTAGACATCGGAGGACACAATAGGGAGACTCCTACGTCCTTGTGTCCACTGGTAACAGAGAACCCAAGACCTCGGTGCTACAAGAGAGTAACACAAACCTTTTTTTAAACGTCGATTTCCTGCCCTACAATAGGACCATTAAACTGAAGGATGGCATACTCCGTGTTAAGATCTCTTCTGTACTGGTTGGGCTGGCCGTTACGGGATAGGGCCAGGTCTGCGTACACCACTCCGGGGGGGTATTTGGAGAGGTGGGATTGGCTGTTTACGGACTGTGGGTATGCTTTAGAACTCTGGGATTGGGTACTGGGATAGGACGTGGCAGGATGCGACTGGTTGTTTGGGTAGGATGTGGCAGGATGTGATTGGTTCTCCAATCTGTGTGGATACGTTGATGATGAATATGACTGGCGTGATGATGCGTTGTATGACGGAGGTGGGGGTTGGGACTCTTTTAGCGATGAAGATGATGGGTATTGTTTGTATGTCGGCGGATTTCTTTGGTAATGTGGCTGGTACTGTGGCTGGTACTGTGGTTGGTACTGTGGCTGGTAGTGGGTTGAGGAAGGGGAGGAGGACGATGACGAGGAGCTAGGCGTAGGATTCTGAGCTGACCCGTAGTTGGCGGGCTTCCGGTTCTGCAAACAAAGCCACAAACAATGCATTCCTTTGTTAGTTGGTTAGTCACACAGCCGGGGACAGCTACATTATAATCAAAACTACAGTTAAAACAAAAAAAATCAATGCTCTATTGTTTTCACCGTGTATTCAGAGAAGTAATATCAAAATACACAAGAGTCCAAAGCTGTATTATACAAATCAAATGTTACCAAAACATCAGAGAATAACTCACGCGACACATATACGAGAACTGTGGCAACATAGATGCCATTGTCCTCCTTATGTGAAGGAGGAGAGAGAGAGAGAGAGAGAGAAATAAAAATTAACAAGCCATATTAAAATCGTAGAATAATAAAGAAGAACTATAATTAATATATTGTTGTGGAAATGACCTGCACTTCAGTCTCAGGATTCTGAGGCCACAATGTGTTGATAATATGTAGCCGGATACATAAATATGTACACTACGGAAATACAGGCAAACGTGTGACAAAAAAAAAAGTTTGAGGAAACGCAATGACAGGTCATTTACCACGACAAACAAAACAAAAAATAAAACACACACACACACACACAAACCTCAGGCAATACATGATGTGGCTGTTGATGTGAGAGGTGTTGAGCAAGTTTGTCTTTGGTAGGGAGTGGAATATTCTGGTACGTGTGGGTGACTCTCCCACCGCTACCATTCCGTGGCGCTGGCGTCGGCATGGCATCTGCGGTTCCCGCGACGTCACTTGTTCTTGGGTCAGAGGAGGACTCGTGATTGGTTGCATTAGTGGTTCTGCCTGGGCGTGGAATATTCTGATTGGTGGAATTATCTGAGTATATAGAGTTGTTATTAGACTCTGCCCTTGACGGGGGTCTAGTGAGAACTGTGAGCTTGGACGTCTGACTAGATTCTACTATTAGAGTTGTCTGAGTCGGTTCTGATGTGATGGTGTGTTTCGTTTCAGATGTAAAGTGTGTAGTTTGTTGGCCCGGAGCTAGAGCCTCGCTTTCACACTCTCTCAGAGGCGAGGGAGAAGAGTCTTTGAGAGGGATAGCTTGTATGGAAGGCTGCTGGTCAATCATTTGATGATTTTCTTCACTGTTGCCTTTGGCTCTCGACTTTCTCTTATTTCCAGGAAGTCTCATTGAAAAATAAGCAGCTGTTTTGGCCAGAGCACTTTTGCCAACCTTCTCTGACGTGCTTCTCATAGATCCGTAAGACTCTGAATTCTGCCTCTGAAGACGATTGAAATCCTTCTCATCTTCCATCTGCTCTACATCCTGGCGGAAACTTACGTCTCGCCTCCCTGGCACCTTCTGGGAATCCTTAGAGCCCTCCTCTGAGCAAGACTGATTGAGATTGACGCCCTTCCTGCTTCGGGTTGATCCGTAACCGGAAGATGCCTGCTGACTCAGCTGGCTCGGAGGTCGACTGCCTCCTGCACTACCACCTCCTCCTCCTCCCACCACACCGGAGCCTGCCACCTCCGGAGCGTCCTGCTGACCAGTCACTACATCTTTACTTCTCAACACTAACAGGTTAGCTACACCGCAGAGATCAAATCATAATGCAAGAAAAAACAAATCACAAAACCCACTTGATTCACAAATGCCAAAGTAGACCACACGGAGAAAAACAAGAACCCCGGACTCTCTCGTGAATATTAACATCAAGAACAATGTGCTAAATTTACTCCTTAATAATATATTAATAACCAAAATCTGTCTACTTTATCATTTCACATCACTTGTGACTCTGCATCAAAATACAAGTGGCTTGTATGGGTTGGGTCATGTTCAGCCCGGTTGTTGTGGCTTGTTCTCTGCATATACACGTTTATTAACACGAAAAAAAGTATGGCATTTATGTTTACGTTGAACGGTGCTGACTTGACTCCCATTTATATGTTATAATTTGATCTCTGCAAACAAAAACACAAACAAAAACACTGCACTGGCAAACAACACATCAAAACAAAAGGCAAATTAGCAAATTATAAAAATGTTAACTACAGGAAATTAATTAATTGCACTCATGCAAAACACTAGGATACGTATCTTAAGACCACTTCTCAACTGAACTTTGCCATTTGGCATCCTGCTGCCTATTCCTATTATGATATGCTTCCAAAAAGTATAGTATGGTAGAATATAGCCGAATTCAATTAGCATTTCTAGTATACTGTGATACTGATACGCTACCATGGTGGTTTAGTCCCAATGGTATGCTACCAAGAGTGATGGTTTTCAGTCTTTTTACCTTTAGACAGCTGTAAGAAAACCAAGCAAGGATTATGTAATAGGTCTCCATACACGCATGCAAACACAAATATGCAAGCAAGCAAGCAAGCGCACACACGAACACACACACACACGAACACACACGAACACACACACACACGAACACAAACACACACACACACGAACACAAACACACACACACACGAACACAAACACACACACACACGAACACAAACACACACACACACGAACACAAACACACACACACACGAACACAAACACACACACACACCACACACACACACACACACACAACACACACACGAACACACACACACACGAACACACACACACACACACACACGAACACACACACACACACACACACACACACACACACACACACACACACACACACACACACACACACACACACACACACACACACACACACACAAACTCTCTGGAATCATAACGAATGCCGTGTTTCCCCAGGAGTACACAGTAATAAGGAAAGAGAGGGAAGGTAGGGGAGGAGGCGGAGTGGCCCTACTCATGAGAAGGGAATGGAGTTTTAAGGAGATGGCCATCCCGGGCTGTGAGGAGTTCAGAGACTACATAGCAGGCACCATAACAATGGGAGGACCAAGAATAGTAGTAGCAGTAATATACAACCCTCCACCAAATGACAGGAGACCCAGTCAAGAGTATGAAAACAACAAGAAGGCAGTTAACACTATAATTGAGAGGGCAGCCTCTGCTGCCTGTAGAAATAGATCCCACCTGCTCATCATGAGCGACTTCAATCACGGAAAGATTGACTGGGAGAACAAGGAACCGCATGGAGGCGAGGATACGTGGAGAGCCAAACTATTGGAGGTGGTGACAAGCAACTTTTTAACCCAGCATGTCGGAGAACCCACAAGGATGAGAGGCAATGACGAACCAGCGAGACTCGACCTAGTCTTCACTCTGAACGACTCCGACATAAGAGAAATCGGTTTTGAGGACCCAGTAGGAATGAGCGACCACAGTGTACTGGTGTTTGAGTACTTGATTGAAGAAGGGTTATTGAACTCGAGGAGGGATACCGAAACCAAAAGGTTAGCATACCGAAAGGGAAACTATGAGGGGATAAGAAAATTCCTAACAGATATAGCATGGGAAACAGAGCTCAGGGGAAAGACGGCCCAAGATATGATGGATTACATCACGCAGAAGTGCAAGGACGTAGCAAACAAGTTTGTCCCAGTCCAAAAGAAAAACAGAGAAATGAAGATGAGAAACCCATGGTTTAATCAGAGATGTAGGCTAGCTAAGCAGCAAAGTAAAAGGGCATGGAGAAACTATAGGAATAACAGGACACTGGAGAGCAGAGAAAGATACCAGAATGCCAGGAATGAATATGTCAGGATGAGAAGAGAGGCAGAAAGACAATACGAAAATGACATCGCAAGCAAGGCAAAGACTCAGCCTAAATTGTTGCATAGCCACATTAGGAGAAAAACAACAGTAAAGGAACAGGTTATGAGATTAAGGATGGGGCGGAAGGATTCACTACAAATGACAAGGAAGTGTGTGAGGAATTGAATAAGAAATTCCAGGAGGTCTTCACCTTAGAGCAAGGAGAAATTCCAGAGGTAAGTGAGGGAATAGCTAACCAGGAACCACTGGAAGAGTTTGAGATTACCAGTGGGGAAGTAAGGAAGTGTTTACTAGAGTTGGACGTGACGAAGGCTATAGGCCCAGATGGAATCTCCCCTTGGGTTCTAAAGGAAGGAGCAAGAGAACTGTGCCTACCACTCTCCATAGTGTATAACAAATCACTGGCAACAGGGGAACTGCCAGATATTTGGAAAGCAGCTAACGTAGTCCCGATATACAAGAAAGGGGATAGACAGGAGGCACTGAACTACAGGCCAGTGTCCCTAACCTGCATACCATGCAAGCTGATGTAGAAGATTGTGCGAAAAAAACTAGTGGAGCATCTGGAGCGAAGGAACTTTGTAACACAGCATCAACATGGGTTCAGGGATGGCAGGTCCTGCCTCACAGGGTTACTTGAATTCTACGACCAGGCAACAAAAATAAGGCAAGAAAGAGAAGGGTGGGCAGACTGCATATTTTTGGATTGTCAGAAAGCCTTTAATACAGTGCCACACAAGAGGCTAGTGCGAAAGTTGGAGATGCAGGCTGGAGTGAGAGGGAAGGTACTCCGGTGGATAGAGGAGTACCTAAGCAACAGGAGACAACGAGTCTGTGTGAGGGGTGAGGTCTCAGATTGGCGAGACGTCACAAGTGGAGTCCCGCAGGGGTCAGTCCTTGGACCTATACTGTTTCTGGTATATGTAAATGATCTCCCAGAGGGTATAGATTCGTTCCTCTCAATGTTTGCCGACGATGCAAAAATTATGAGGAGGATTGAAACAGAGGATGATAGTAGGAGGCTACAAGATGACCTGGATAGACAGTGAATGGTCCAACAAATGGCTGTTGAAGTTCAACCCGAGTAAATGCAAAGTAATGAAACTAGGCAGTGGAAACAGGAGGCCAGGCACAGGATACAGAATAGGAGATGAAGTACTTAATGAAACAGACAGAGAGAAAGATCTAGGAGTTGATATCACACCAAACCTGTCTCCTGAAGCCCACATAAAGAGAATAACGTCTGCGGCATATGCGAGGCTGGCTAACATCAGAACGGCGTTCAGGAACCTGTGTAAGGAATCATTCAGAATCTTGTACACCACATATGTAAGACCAATCCTGGAGTATGCGGCCCCAGCATGGAGCCCGTACCTTGTCAAGCACAAGACGAAGCTGGAAAAAGTCCAAAGGTATGCCACTAGACTAGTCCCGGAACTAAGAGGCATGAGTTATGAGGAAAGGCTGCGGGAAATGCACCTTACGACACTGGAAGACAGAAGAGTAAGGGGGGACATGATCACAACCTACAAAATCCTCAGGGGAATCGACCGGGTAAACAAGGATGAACTATTCAACACTGGTGGGACGCGAACAAGGGGACACAGGTGGAAGCTGAGTACCCAAATGAGCCACAGAGACGTTAGAATGAACTTTTTCAGTGTCAGAGTAGTTAGTAAATGGAATGCATTAGGAAGTGATGTGGTGGAGGCTGACTCCATACACAGTTTCAAATGTAGATATGATAGAGCCCAATAGGCTCAGGAATCTGTACACCAGTTGATTGACGGTTGAGAGGCGGGACCAAAGAGCCAGAGCTCAACCCCCGCAAGCACAATTAGGTGAGTACAATTAGGTGAGTACACACACACACACACACACACACACACACGAATACACACACACACACACACACACACACACACACACACACACACACGAATACACATCCTTGCATCTTCCTCTCAAGCTTTTACCTGTTTTAACTTACACTAATCACAATAGCGTGATGCATCAAATGAACAAATCCACCAGGGCAAGTAGAAGTAAGGTCGGTAGAACTTCTCGTTGCAATTCTTTTTTACCATTGATCAACCAGGCTGTGACTCATACGTCAGGCTGCGAGCAGCCGCGTCTAACAGCCTGGTTGATCAGTCCAGCAACCAGGAGGCCTGGTCGACGACCGGGCCGCGGGGACACTAAGCCCCGGAAGCACCTCAAGGTAGCCTCAAGTGGGCATCACCTCAAGGTTCAAGATAACCCATGTAGCTCAGTCGATTACGGCAGCGTCTGGGATAGTCTCGGACGTAGATTCAAACCCTCGTCACGGCCCTTGTGGATTTATTCACCTGTTTTACCTTCTTGAGAAACACTTGAGAAATACTCACGCCTCAGCCTGGTGTGTCTCACCTTGTTGGGGGGTGGCTGCATGCCGTGGAAGGGAAGGTTCTCATAGAAGGTCTGTTTCTCATCGTCGGGTTGCGAGGGTACGCCATTATCCTTAGGACCAGTAGGTGGGGGCTTTGAGGCTTCAGGATCTTCGGCCGGGGTGGAAAAAAAGAAAGTGTGTAAGCGAGATCCAAAAACCCTTCCTGTGGTCAGACGTTGAATCTAATCCATCGTAATTTGAATCAGTGCTGCAAAGCTGATTGAATGGTAAATGACAATAGTCCTTAGCGTTATAACTATGCCCTTTTGAATGAAATTGGTGGATACTGAAAGTTGCTCCTTATGTCTGCAAGAATGCTGAGTTGGGGTTACTTAATTCTGGCCCAAGAGGTGCACAAGGAGACACCTAATGAAGACAGCAGAACGGAAAGAGGTGCACAATGGACAGACAAACGTTCAGAATGCAAGCACATATTATTGCAACATTGAGGACATTTAATATATTTTATTCAGTGAATGTAGTAAGACACTCAAACTTTACAGAGAAACCAAGAGGTGGAAAGTTCCTCAAACAAGTGCACACTAAAGTTTTAATTGTCACGTTCGAGGTGTCTAACATTTAAGAACATTCATAACATTAAGCTTGAAGCAAAACAAAAGACTTAAGAGGGCAACGAAGCACGAAAAAAGCGTTCATTACTCGTCTGTTCACCAGACTTGCTTATATACACTTTTTAAATCAGGAGAATACAATCATACACATTAATACAACTGAAAGGCGGACCAAACAAGCTATGAGGGATTTAATTAAATGAAACACTCAAGCAAAAGGAGAGTAAAGCCTCAGTTTGACAAGTGTGTGCGGACAACCCCCCTTCTCTCTCTCTCTCCCTCTCCCACTAACTCTCTCTCCCTCTACCTCCCTCTAACTCACTCTCTCTCTCTCTCTCTCTCTCTCTCTCTCTCTCTCTCTCTCTCTCTCTCTCTCTCTCTCTCTCTCTCTCTCTCTCTCTCTCTCTCTCTCTCATATGACATGCACTGACAACTACATAACGAGGTGGCTAATCTTGCAGTTATAGACAAAACCCAACATGAAATAAGATACGTATTTCGCCCTGGACTATATTCAAGTGGATTACCTGTCACGTTCTCGTTTAATTCTCTGCCTATATAGACAATAGACCTAACATTATATAAAACAAATTATCCTCATAGTGTTGCGCGGGTTGTGCTGTGAGGGATAGTCTCTCCTCGGGGGATTGCAACAGGAAAATTAGTTTACACAGCAGACAGTGCTGGGTATGCCGCCAGGACAACCCCCACTTCCATTTGTGATGCGACACCTCTTCTGGCAAAGCTTCCCACAAAAGGAGATGTAGGCTGGCCAGAGTGCAGACAGGCATGACTGAGTTAATAATGTCCCAGGAGACACCTTAATATTGCAACGCTGTGCCTGGCGTCTCTCCACCAGTTTACCATCCGACTGAATAAAATTGTTGCTAATGCAATTGACGCTCGTTCGGGAAGGGCGATGATGAGTTTCGTCCGAACTTAATAAATGATGATAATGAACCTCCCCCCCCCCCCATATATTTTTTCAATGTCGAAAAATATGATTGAACATAAATATTGGTCGCATATCCTAAAATGTGTCGTAACTCCCCCCGCCCCCCCCCCCAAAAAAAAAAGTTTATTTTTTGCACTTTTAACCATTGGGTATAATAAGTAAGAGTGGCACCGAATTGGCACTGCTGTTGGATATTGTGCCCATTAGGTAATTGGTAGAGGACACTAGAAGGGCCTACAACACACAGGCTAACATATGTGGGAGCCTGGAGTATACCACACACATACTAAGTTACTCCTAAGATGGAGTATGTTAGGCTTAGGACAGCATTGACCAGACCACACACTAGAAGGTGAAGGGACGACGACGTTTCGACAATCGACTTGAGAATGGTCCAGGACGGGCCGAAACGTCGTCGTCCCTACACCTTCTAGTGTGTGGTCTGGTCAACATATTTTAGCCACGTTATTGTGACTCATCGCCTGCTTAGGACAGCATTGGTTGCAAAATTAGTGTACTAATCTCTAGCTGTCATTTGAAGTACTCCAATAGCACAAGACGAACGGCTTGTTTAGGCCCAACCGACTCTCAATACATTCCCCAATTAGTTACCATTTTATGATCATGGGATGATTTATTTTTTCATCTTCCGCCCAGGATAATGATGATACAGCCCGTCCTTTCTCCGACGTAATGATACGTTGTGTAACGTAATTAAACGCACTGGGAAAGCAACGGCTCGCAAAAATCTACGTTTTACTTTGCATCGGTTACGTTAGACGGCTTGGGTTAGTATAATGGAATTTGTACGTTGTGGAGAATGGAGAGAACGGCTTGAACGGGCGTAGTGACGCATGATGGGGCTGTTGGTGATTTATACAACTCGTTCTCGCGCTTGCTTATAGTCAATATTGGCTTATTAATGGCTTATTTATATATATTGGCTTATTTAATAAGTGCATATGTGACATAGTAATTGATTGTGAATATTTTAGTTTACCTTGAAAAGCTTCATAGAAAACACCGTCCTCACCTAACCTTCTTAGTATGTTAAGATAAGCATCTTATTGCTTCTTCATTACAATTATTACTTAACCTATACCGTTGATAGGTTAAGTAATAATTGTAAATAAGAAGCAATAAAATGCTTATCTTAACATACTTAGAAGGTTAGGTGAGGTCGGTGTTTTCTATGAAGCTTTCCAAGGTAAACTAAAATATTCATAATCAATTAGTATGTCACATATGCACTTGTTAAATAAGCCAATATTGACTATAACCACGTGCGAAAACGGGTTGATTTATATAGGCAATAGCTTTTACCTTGAGAGTGTTACCTTGAAAGGTACCTTGGGAGTTCGTCATCTACATTCCAGCAACTTGACTATATATATTTTAGCTTCATATATATATATATATATATATATATATATATATATATATATATATATATATATATATATATATATATTATATTAGTATATTTTGGTAGCAGTCTTTCCTGTAGACATATATTATTAAATATGACCGAAAAAGTAAGATTAATAATTCTAACACGAATTTTCTCAATCTTTCGTACATTTCTTTTCACTGTTGGAGGTAATTCAAAAATCAATTCTCCAAAATTCATTTTTATTTCTAGTCTGACGCGACACTTGAGCGCGTTTCGTAAAACTTATTACATTTTCAAAGACTTTACACATACACAACTGAATAGAACTTACATATCTCCGATTTGTTTATATCTACATTTGAGTGAGGTGGATGGGGTGAGGTGGTATTTAATAGGGTATTAATTTCATCAACACAAGACAGAACACGAAACAATGGGTATTGAAATGGAAGTGATTGTAGAAAGCCTATTGGTCCATATTTCTTGATGCTTCTATATTGGAGCGGAGTCTTGAGGTGGGTAGAATATAGTTGTGCATTAATTGGCTGTTGATTGCTGGTGTTGACTTCTTAATGTGCAATGCCTCGCAAACGTCAAGCCGTCTGCTATCGCTGTATCTATCGATGATTTCTGTGTTGTTTACTAGGATTTCTCTGGCGATGGTTTGGTTGTGGGAAGAGATTATATGTTCCTTAATGGAGCCCTGTTGCTTATGCATCGTTAAACGCCTAGAAAGAGATGTTGTTGTCTTGCCTATATACTGTTTTTTTTGGAACTTACAGTCCCCAAGTGGGCATTTGAAGGCATAGACGACGTTGGTCTCTTTTAAAGCGTTCTGTTTTGTGTCTGGAGAGTTTCTCATGAGTAGGTTGGCCGTTTTTCTGGTTTTATAGTAAATCGTCAGTTGTATCCTCTGATTTTTGTCTGTAGGGATAACGTTTCTATTAACAATATCTTTCAGGACCCTTTCCTCCGTTTTATGAGCTGTGGAAAAGAAGTTCCTGTAAAATAGTCTAATAGGGGGTATAGGTGTTGTGTTAGTTGTCTCTTCAGAGGTTGCATGGCGTTTCACTTTCCTTCTTATGATGTCTTCGACGAAACCATTGGAGAAGCCGTTGTTGACTAGGACCTGCCTTACCCTACAGAGTTCTTCGTCGACTTGCTTCCATTCTGAGCTGTGGCTGAGAGCACGGTCGACATATGCGTTGACAACACTCCTCTTGTACCTGTCTGGGCAGTCGCTGTTGGCATTTAGGCACATTCCTATGTTCGTTTCCTTAGTGTAGACTGCAGTGTGGAAACCTCCGCTCTTTTCCATGACTGTTACATCTAGAAAGGGCAGCTTCCCATCCTTTTCCATCTCGTAAGTGAAACGCAGCACTGAACTCTGCTCAAATGCCTCCTTCAGCTCCTGCAGACGTCTGACATCAGGTACCTGTGTAAAAATGTCGTCAACATACCTGCAGTATATGGCCGGTTTCAAGTTCATGTCGACTAAGACTTTTTGCTCGATGGTACCCATGTAGAAGTTTGCAAACAGGACACCTAGGGGAGAACCCATGGCGACTCCATCTACTTGCTTATACATGTGCCCACCCGGGCTCAAGAAGGGTGCCTCTTTAGTACAAGCTTGGAGTAGTTTCCTCAGAATATTTTCTGGTATGTCAAGAGGAGTATAGGCTGGATCACGATACACTCTGTCGGCTATCATCCCGATTGTCTCGTCCACAGGTACGTTGGTGAACAGCGATTCTACGTCCAACGAGGCTCTTATCCCTGTGGCCCGTGTGCCCCGCAGTAAGTCAACAAATTCCTTTGGAGACTTCAGGCTGAAGGCGCAAGGAACATAAGGAGTCAGCAGGCCGTTGAGTCGCTTCGCCAGTCTGTACGTGGGTGTGGGTATCTGGCTAATGATTGGCCGAAGTGGGTTTCCAGGCTTGTGTGTCTTGACATTTCCATACACATATCCAGGTTTATATTCCCCAATGATCTTTGGCAGGTGGAGTCCGGATTTCTTGGCGTTCACAGTTTCGATCAGTTTGTTGACCTTTGCTTTCAATTCGGCTGTAGTGTCCTTCGTTATCCTTTGCTTGTACTAAAGAGGCACCCTTCTTGAACCCGGATGGGCACATGTATAAGCAAGTAGATGGGGTCGCCATGGGTTCTCCCCTAGGTGTCCTGTTTGCAAA